CGTCCGCAGTTTTCCGGCGTGCTTTTTTAAAGTTTTGCCGTGCTTCGCGTCAGAACAAAAAGAGAGGCGTTTGTCATCCGTTCTTACCGAACGTCAATCGAGATTCATTCATCGAGCACTTTGACAGCGCACGCGAATTTTTTTCGGTCGCGCAAGCTCGTTCCGCGCAGCATCTATCTTCGTGTGGTCCCAGACTTTTTCCTCGTGGCTTTCCTGGCAATCGCCGGAGCGCGACCACAAAACTCTCTTACGCAAGAGAGGCGCGTGCTTCTCCCGCGACGCATCCAATCTGTCAGACTTTACACGTACATTCCTCGCGACGAGTCGACTCGCCGGAGGCTTCGAAAAGCGCTCCAGTTGGTTAAGAGCTTCCACGACTTTCCCCCGAGAAGGTAGCGCGTCTCCGCAAGCTCCGGCACTGTGAGCTCGCACGTCGATCTTCCCCCTCAGGGCGTCCGTCTCGATTATTCTCCGCTTGCGCGCACTATGATCTGCCCACAAGCCCGACTGATGCTGCTTCGTTCACGAGTACACGACTCTCTCGCGTCCCTAAAGCTTCTCCGTCGCTTCGCCCGCTGCGGGATGCGACGCGTCGCACGCGCGAGCAGTGCGTACGCGCGCGTGGCTGCGCGCGCGCGGACACCCTCGTGTCTATACGTGGCGGCCGTGTACGTGTATATAAGCGTGTATGTATTATGTGTGCGGGTGTGTGTGTGTGTGTGTGTGTGTAATGCGCCTTTGCGCGCGCTGCACCGTCGCAAGCACCCACGCTGAAGCACCCGCTCGATGAGTTGGCCGCTCGCGACTGCCAGAGCTAAGTCCCCGGCACCGAGTTTATGTGATTCGCGGCGGTGGTGCGGTGGTGGTAGCCCGGCACCTCCGGAGAAGCGTGGCTCTCGTCGCGCCTCGCAGGAGAGAGAGCGGAGCGACCAGCGTCGCAGCAGCGCCGAGAGAGCGCGGAGCGGTCACCTAGCCAAGGTCTAAATTGATTTTTACGGCGGTGGCGGTGGTGGCGACGCGCGTCGGCGTCCCGACGTGGCGAACGTTTCCCGTTGCCCGGGCAACCCCTCAATGATGACGTCATGGTTTCCACCACCCTCATCGTCGTCTTTCCGCCTCCGGTCTGCCACCGCTGGTCCCCGTATTTCCACTTTAGCCTACTTACGCTTTGAGGAACGCTGGCTTTCAGCTTCGTCCGCACGCTCGATTCGCGCGGTTCTCTTAATGAGAGGGAAAGAGAGAGTGACAAAAGTTATTCCCCGCCGAATCCTCTTCTCGCTTTTTGCACGAACCCTCGTATATTTATCGTCCTGTTGCGGTTTCTCGTATATTTGCATTCATTCATTCTTTCGTTCTTTGTTCTCATTGCCGGTGTTCGTTACGATTTTCCGTGTAAATCCGCCCTAAACTCTTCGTGCTTCCGTCGACAAAAAATCTCTTGTCATTTTGCACGATCAATCTTTTAGTACGTGTCATACTCCCCACTTATTTAAAAAAAGCCCTATCTATCATTTATATATTTTAGTATAAAATGTCCGACTTATTTCGAATTATACTACTATTTTCTCGACAAAGCCATTGTAGCCACTGTAATCGAGTTTGCTCCGAGCTTATTTTGACTTACGACCGGTTCAGTATATCTCCCTCAATTAACTCTCACGTGTTGACTTTTTTTACATTACATTATTGTTATAAGCTAATAGTCAGAAAAATAAGTATCTCTCGTATAACTTTTTCTCAGACAGTTAATCTAAAGTTAAAAAGAACTCAGTCATTATTCTCTATCTACTTAATTCGCATGCGTATAGTAAAAGTGGTAAATAAAGTAAAAACGGCTTTTCTTTTTTATGCTATTTCGATATCTCGTGCTCGTTAACACTGAAGGCAATTATGCAGCTAAATCCGGTCCTATTATCTCTTTGTTTCTTCTCATCTTCCGTTTCGTTTCCTCGCGGCGAACAATGCTTTTCCATTCTATCTGTTCCTTCCGCTACTTGCTCTATCTGCACGTACGCGTATTATTCGCCAAGCCTAATCCCATTATCTTCAAAGTTCTTTTCGTTTATTTTTATATTTCTCCTTATTTCTTATATTACTCCATATATTTCTACCGTTCCGCTTTAATTAGTATCAATCACCATACTTACGTCCTATTCGCTCATATTCTCTTCTTGTACTATAATTTCGGCTCATCTGTTTTATCTCTTCTTATAAATTTTTCCTCTCTACCTCCGCCACTTCTTTCATCTTTTATTCTCACATCTCTCATCCTTTTGATGCATCCCTAATTTTATTATTTGATTCTAACTTCATTTAAAAAAAAACAACTTATAATCATATAACAATATTGCATGCTTATTTAATTGATAATTTTAGGAAGAGCAGATGCTTTCAATTTCTCGTCATTTTTCCATTACTTTCTATTATATCCCTTATTTTCTCCTCATTACCATCGAGCCAACTCTATAGCTCACGACTGATCTCCGTTCTTTCGCGCTTTTTTTCATCTGACAAACGTGCCAACTAAAAATAAAAGATCCTCTTTTTCCTATTTTTTTTTCTCCACACTACTCTTCACTCCTCTTCGGTTTCATTACTGCAGGTCTCACACGTCTCCCTTGCTCATCCGCTAAGTGTTGCGTTATTTTTCAGGTTCCTACTAGTAGTGAGACAGACGCTTCGTTTAAGCTCCCATTCATCCGTCTTCAACAGAATAACGCACAGGTGGCTTCACGTTTCTCTTCCTTGTTGTCAGGCAGTTTGATAGAAGCCCTTCGTTGAGGCAAAATAATGCACAGCAGGTTTTCATTTGTCACTATTGATGGACTCCAGCGTAATGTTTGAAAATACTTAATGTCGATGATTTAATGTCGATTTAAAAATTAAAACGCAATCTTGATTATATTATAGTAGATCGTACGTGACTATTAAAAAGATAAATGCGAGAAACTGAATTTCCTAAACTTAAATTAAATGCACTGATTCTTACTTGTCATATTTTTATGAGAATTTTATTTTTGAATAATATTTATTATTTATTTAAAAAATTCGCTTCTGATTACAAGCGTAGATAAGTAACAGCGAAAGTATATAATAAACCTATAATAAGTAACAGACAGTAAAGAGAAAACAAAAAAAGACACAAGAAAAAGAAACGAGTATTGCACTGTCAAATAAATTCTCGACTTTAATGAACGTACAAAAGAGTGCATCTTGAAAATTAAAGTATACATCCTTCGGTTTGAGTCTGTAATTTGCTCCGTATTTATTCTATAAAATGTCCCCTTTGGAAAAAATTCGTGGAATAATCGGCAAATAGCCATAAAAACTTTGCCATGAACAGATAATGTCCCTATGTGTAAAAATAATATGATAGATTAAAAAGATGAATATATTATATTTCAAAAAAAGATTCTCCTTCAAAATAGTTATTATTCCAAAATATCATTTTCTTCAATTACTGATAAACAAAATTGCAAAAAATTATTGCAATTAGAAATACGATGTTTAAATATAATATCATCGTCATTTTAAAATTATGCATAATCAACTTTTGTTAATAAATCTCATATAGAATCATAGTAAAAAACATGTAATATTTTTACTCAATAAAAATACGAATATTACTATTAATTTAATACGATGTATTTTATCCTTATTTTAGAACGGAATTTAGTTTAAAACGCAATGCGTTTTAATATATCTTTTTTATATATTCTAGAATTAATTACACACACACACATATATAGTGATTTTCTAGAATTAATTAAACACACACAACAGTAATCGTAGATAATTTATCGCCATCAAAAAAAATTTTTAAAATCGCCAATGAAAAGGTAGATTATATACGAGAAGTAAACTAAAAGTTTGAATACAAAGCGGCGGAAATTGCGATACGCTGCAATATGACCTTCTTCCGGTGGATTTTGCAAATACAACTCTTCGGATCTGCGGCCACATATTTTCCCGAGTATTTCCCGCAAACGAAGAACCATGCCTCTTTCCTGTATTTTTGCGCTTCCCTCTTTTCTTTTTTTACACGGAACTTTTCAATTAACGTCGCATTTTCCTGTGTAATCGACGATGTTTTTTTATCGGAAGTTTTTTGCCATTGTTATTGCGGCAAAAAAGACAAAGAGAAAACTTACATCATTCTACCGATTGCATGGATATTATTATACTGTGAATTAAAATAATTGCGCGTTAAAAAAATTTTCAGCAATAAATAAAATGGTCAATTTTTATTGTATTAAATAAACTTTATGATTAATATGCAGCTTTTATAATTATTTATTTACTATCGAAATTTCCATATCCCGTTGCCAAGTAATAATAATTTAAAAATTTTATATTATTAATGTACACATGCGTGCGCGTATATGCACACATACATATATGCGTAAAGCCTTGTTATTCAGGAAACATTATTTTTACAACTTGTGTAAAACATATTTATTTAATAAAAGTAGAAAACAACAAAAAGTAGAAAAAAAAGATTTATATTATATATGAAATATTTATATTATAAAATGTAAAGATATGTTGTCGTTTCATATTAAAGGAGTCATTGTTTAAACAAATTTATACAATGTATA